AAAAAAAAAAAAAAAAAAGATTTATCTAATAAAATTATTTTTAGTTAAATATATACTCTTGCAAAAATAAGTAAAAAACGTCTCTTTTTTGTAATGTTTCCCTTAAATATTTTATATATAAATTTATTTATGTTTATATATAATATACATATATTTTTAAATCTTATGTAATATATATATATACTATCGTTTTAATGATATACTTAAAAATATTAAGAATATAAAGATAAAAATGGATTAATAAAACAAAAATAAATTTAAATGGAATCATATATTTTTTTTTTTTTTTTAATGTCTATTTTTAATAATACTGTAATAGGTAAAAGAAATTATATATAATAATTTTTTTATTATTGTCTCTATTCCATGAAGCATATATATTAATATCCATTTTATTTATAAAAAACTTATAAATAAAATTAAAATATATATGAGATTTAAAAATATAATTTTTATATACCCTTGTAAAAAAAAAGAAAAAAGGATTATATATTTTTTTTTTCTAAATTTACAAGGGAAAAAAATGTAGTAATAATAAATATTTTAATTAACCTTTTTTTTTGTTTATTTAAAAATATCTTCTTTTTAATGAATTAAAATATTTTAGAAAAGAAATACAATATATATTTATGTATATGAAGATAAATTTAGATAAATAAATAGAACAATATTTGTTTTTAACTTTTATAAAATATACAAAATTTATGTGTAAATATCAAAAACAAAATAAAAAAAAATACAATATATACTTATATATTTAATAAGAAAATAAGAAAATAAGAAAATAAGAAATTTTTATTTTTATTTTTTATTTTTTTTCAGATATTTTTTGTCATCTCAATATTATTTCAGTAACACAGACCAAGATGTTTAAGTCATCATTAAAAAAAACAAAAATAAAAATAAAAATCAAATTTATTAATTTATTAATTTATTAATCTATTAATTTATTAATCTCATGTTTATATAATTCTATTTTTTTTTTCTGTACGATTATAAAACGAGAAATTTGAATTAAATAGTCAAAATTCAAGCTGGAAAATCAAAATATTTTTTTGTAGCAAGAAATTATTTCTACAATATTTTAAAAAAAAAAAAAAGAGTGTTTATATTGTAGAACTCAAAATCTTGCAAACAAATTTACTATTTTTTACTATTTTATTTTATATTTATTTTAATAAAAAAAAAAAAAAAAACTTATATGCTTTATGAATGATTATGTATATAAAAATTTTATATAATTCTTTTGTTAAATTCATAAAAAAAAAAATCAGTTTTTTTTTTTCATCATTATATTCTTCAGACCCGAAAGGCTTATAATGAAATAAATTTTCATCAACTTTTTTTTTTTAAGAAAAAAACTTTTTCTGTTTTTTATAAAAAAAAAATGTAATTTTAATATGTATGAAAGAATAACTTCATCGTTAAAATACAAAATGGATACATATATATATATATATATAAAACAAAAAATGAAATGAAAAAAAATAAATATAAAAAAGGAAAATAATTGCTTTAATGAAATACAAAAAAAAAAAAGTATTAAAAATAAAATATTAAAATAAAATATAAAAATAAAATATATAAAATAAAAAAAAAAAAATAAATAATAATAATATAAAAAAAAAAAAAAATAAATAAATATAAAAAAAATGAAAAAAAAAAAATTATTATAAAATAAAAAATATTTAAAAAAGAAAAAAGCTATTTTGTGATAAACTGATAAAAATTACAATATTTTTTAAAAAAATAGTTATGTCGGTTCTTTCAGGAAAAATACCACAAAAAGTAAATTTCTTTTTTTTTCTTTATATTTATACCTTTTTTTGTTTGCTTCATATTAAGAATATTAATAAGCAATTTATAAAATAATAAAAAGCCTCATTATGTTTTAAATTATATATATATATATATATATATAAATAGGGTGTAAATTTCATATCAAAATACTTTGATCACTTCAACAAAAAAAAAAAAAAAAAAAATTTGTAACTTTGTAATTTGTTTAAATTATATATATAAAAAAAAAAATGTGTTATTACATATTTTTATAATATGTATGCTTATGAGGAAAAAAGAAAAATTTATTTTTTTTCGTTTTTTACATTTGTTTTTTGTTACAAAAAAGAAAGAAAAATATTAAACAAATAATTTGAGGAAAATTTATAAAATTGATATAAAAAAAGAAATATTTTCTATACTAAGTATTTCTTAATTTTTGCATTACTTTATATACTATCATTTATAGATATATGAAAACACTATATAAATTTTATTTTTCATTATTTTTTTTTATCACAAAATATAGTTTTTAGATGTTTCATTTTAATTAAAATAGTAAAAAGAAAAATAAATAAAATAAATAAAATAAATAAAAAGAAGTGAAAATTTAAATTTTCATTTCTTTTTGATATAAAAAAAAAAAAAAAAAAAATTAAAATAACAATATATATAGAAAAATTTAAAAATAAAAAAAATGCAATATTCCTTCGATTTTATTATTTTATTTTTTTTTTTTTTTATCAAATTAAAAATTATTTTCATAATTAATCTATTTATCCTTTTTTTTTTTTTTTTTTTAAATTCAAATATACTTCTTCTATCCTTGCTTACAATATAAATGTTATATTTTTGGTTAGTATTATTTTTCACTTTTTTTTCAAATCAAAAGTTGCAAAAAAACAAAAAAAAAAGAATATATGTAAAAATAGGTGAAAAAATTTACTTATTTTCCCTTGAAATGTTAGTAATCTAGTTAATTTACATTTTCCTAATAAAAAAATAAATAAAAAAAAAATTTTATAGATATATATAAAGAAATAAAATATATTATTATTATAAAAATGCACTGAAAATAATTATATTCAGAATTTTTGCTTTTCGTCAACATAAAAACTCAGACGGCACTTCCTCATGGTTTTCATCATAATAATTATTAACAATATGCATTTTTTTTTTTTTTTTTTTTTTATAAAAACAAAAAACAATATATTTATAATATGTATATAATACAAATATATATATATAAATCTAATAAAAATATATTGAATTGTATTCATATATGCGGCCCACTAAAAAAAATATCAATTTAGAAATGGTTCCTATAATTATGAATTTTTTTTAGCTGATTTCTGGCAGTTAACAATAAATAAATAAAAATTAAGAGTCACTGTGGTAAATCAGCAAATATATATATTATAAACATATTATTATATTTTTTTTTTTCAATAACTCTCTTATTTAATTATACATATGTAAACAGTATATATATATATATGTATATGTATATATATATGTATATATATAATATTTTATATTACTCTATAATTTAGAGGAAATTTCTTTTTTTTTTGCTTCTTCGATTTTTTTTGCTTTATCTTTCATTTTCTTTAATAACATAGATTTAGCACTCATTTTTTGTCCTCCCCATTTTCTTCTTATTTCAACATTGTCATTAAAATTCTCTTTGCATAAATTACAAAAATATTCTAATTTTTCTTGATCTTCTTTTGATACAGCTTCTATGCATACAGCAGTTGCATTTTTTTTATGTACTAATCTCCCTAAGTTAGCTTTACCTTTAACTATACAGTAAGGAATATCTTTCAATCTACATAATGTTGGCAAAAATAAAACAAGTTCAATTGGTGATACATCATTCGCTATCACAACAAGCTTTGCTTTTTTATTTTCAACTAGTTTAGTTATATGATTTATTCCATATTTAATGAATAAAGGTTTCTTTTCCTTTGTCACAACTTGATTTAAGGCATCTTCGGCTTTTTTTAACAATCTTTTTTTTTTATCTACTTTGGATTCTGGCTTATATGCTTTTAAAAAGTTCATCAAATCTTGAGTCTAAAAAAGTAAATATAAATGTATGCATATATTTTCTGAATGTTCATTAAAAAAAAAAAAAAAAAAAAAAAAAAAATTATACTTGACTCTTTGAAAGAACATGATTAAATTGGTTAATTGAAGGAGGAACTTTTAATCTTTGTAATAATATTTTTTTTTTTCTTTGAATTCGAATAAATCTTGGCCATTTTACATATTTTGATAGATCTTTTTTTGGTCGTACACCAACACCAATAATATTACTTCTCTTTTTTTTTTCAAAAATTAATGGATTATCCCTAATTCCCTTTTTCTTTTCCTTCTTTATTTCTTTCTTTACTGTTTTTTTAGTACTTAATGGGCATGGTGCTGGTGTTTTTTTTGAAGGTCTCTTTTGTTTTTTATCTTTCACCTATAATAAAAAAGTATTAATGTAAATATAATAACATGTGTTTTATATAAGCAATATTTTTTTTAATTTCATAAAAAAAAAAAAAAAGTAAAATGTGAATTGTAAACAAAAAAAAAATTTAATAAAATAAAGAGTTTATATAGTTATCATTGTAAAAATTTACCATCTTGAAAAAGTTAAGAAATTTATTTGTATTCAAAAATATATGAAATTTTCTATATTTATGTTTTAATTAATCTTTTTTCTTTCTTTTTTTTATTTATAAATACTTTCTCTTTTATAAATATTAACAATTTAAATTATATATATAAAAATTTAACTATAAAAAATAAAAAAATGCAAAATCTTCATAAAAAATAAAAAGAAAATATAAAATTTATAATATTTTATATGTACCATACGTATGTTAGAAATGTATATGCATATATAAAAATAAAAAATTGCATTTCTTTTATTCCCATTACATATTTTTATAAAATAAAATTATGTAAAAAAAAAAAAAAAAAAAAAAAAAAAAAAAAAATTATTCATATACATTACAACATAATGTATTCACAAATAAATATATATACATATATTTTTTTTTTTTAATAAAAACTTTTAGTAAAATTCACTAATGTAGGTGATTCAAGCGGTGCTTCATAAATTTTAAAGAATATGTTATTTTAAATTTATAATTTTTAAAATTTTATTTTTATTTTTAACACTTTATTTTTATTTTTTTTATTATATTCTATTAAGGAATTAATCATATTTTTGGGATTTTATCTTACGAAAAAAAAATGGTTAATTCACAGGATAACATATACTAAAGTGTCAGGTATTTTAATTTTTACATCCATTTCATTTAAAGTTTTTCGTTTTTCTTATATTTTTAATAATTGATACTTTTTATTTGTATTATAATTTTATATAACTCATGAAATTTACGAAAACATAAACATTTACAATTACAAAAAGAAGAAAATTTCGTAAAAATAACAAATATATATATTTTTTATTCAAATAAGAAGAGTATAAATAAGTATTCTATATATAAATTCAAGTTTACATAAATTATATTGTTATATAGAATAATGTAAAAGTAATCAAAGTGCACATAAAATAATATAATAAATATGTATATATTTTTTTTGTATTAAAATATTCAATTAATAATACAATTATATTTTATAATATTATATATGTTTATATATTATTCATCAATAAGATACGTTAATAATAAAGTAATATCATATTAATGTATATATTTACATATATATGTAAATTTATATTTTTTTTATTTTATATATTTTTTTTTAAATAATAATTTAATTTACATGTATATATTATATATGTACATATAAACTTATATATTTCGTTCATTTTATTTTCATTCATTTTTTATTTTTTTTTTCATTAATTAAATATTTTAATATATATACATATATTTTAATACATTAAATTTTGAAATTTATTGACGTTGAAAACTATTTTAAGTTCGTATTTTTTCATGTTAATTTATTTTTATATATATTTTAATATAATTTTTTTTTTTTTTTTTTTTTTTATTAGCTTATCTATTTAATTACAAAAAAAAGTATTTTTTTGTAAATAATTATATTTATACCTTTATTTTAAGAATTTAATTTTTGAAAGTCACTAAACAAAAAAAAAAAAAAAAAAAAAAAGAATAAAATAAAATAAGGAAATCTATTAAAAATGGCATATGTTAAAGTTGTTAAAAATAAAGCTTACTTTAAAAGATATCAAGTGAAATATAGAAGAAGAAGAGGTATATTATTTATTTCCTTTTTTTTTTTTTTTCCTTTATTTTTCTATAACATTTTTGTGTGCCTTAAATATAACATGTTCATGATTTATTATGTTGTTATGAAAAATATTTTATTTGAGGCTAAAAAAAAAATAATTATCAATGATAAAACGAGTTAAGCATTTTTTTTTTTATGAGTTGCTGACTCACCTGACATTGAAACAAGAAAAAATATTATTATAATTTTTTATTTATATTTATTTTTCATATTTTATATATATATATATTTTATAAAACACATACATATATGTACATATATTTTTTTTTTTTTTTATTAGAGGGAAAAACTGATTATAGGGCTAGAAAAGCTTTAATATTGCAAGACAAGAATAAATATAATGCACAAAAGTTGCGTTTTGTTGTTCGTAAAACAAACAGTCAAATTATTTGTCAGATAGCTAGTGCTCATATTGAAGGAGATAAAATTTTAGCTGAAGCAAAATCAAAAGAATTAACGAAATATGGAATACCTGTTGGATTAAAAAATTATGCTGCCGCTTATGCAACTGGATTGTTATGTGCTAGACGATTTTTAAAATCATTAAATTTAGATAGCCAATTTGTTGGTGTTGAAAGAGTTACAGAACAAATAGAAGATAAAGAAGAAAAAGAAGATGAAGATTCAAGAAAACCAATCAAAGCATTTTTGGATGTTGGTATAACAATGACTACCACTGGTAATCGTGTTTTTGCAGCATTAAAGGGAGCATGTGATGGAGGATTGCATATTCCTCACGGAAACAACAGATTTCCTGGTTCTAAGAATGAATTTAATCCTGAACAGTTAAGAAAAAATATTTTAGGTATACATGTAGCTGAATATATGAAAACTTTAAAAGAAGAAGATAATGAAAAATATAAAGCACATTTTAATGAGTATATAAAAAATAACATTGATCCAGATAATATTGAACAAATGTATCTAAGTGCACATGAAAAAATTAGACAAAATCCAGAAAGAAAGGAAAAAAATAAAGATAAAACAAAAAAATTTCTTTCGAAGCATGAAAAACCTAAAAAGTTAAATGCTAAAATTAGAAAGAAAAGAGTTAAGGAAAAGGTAAAAAAAATAAAAAAATGAATTTTATAAAGTTTAGAAATCATTATATATATGTATTCCCAAAAAAATTGTTTGAATTTTATAAAAAATTCATATTAGAAATTAATTTAATATAAAAGATTTTTTATGATGAGAAAAGCAGACCTGATTTGAAAAAAAATTTGAAAATAATTTTTAATACTGAAAAAATCTTTTATATATATATATATATTTATATATATACACAAATATGCATATGTATATATTACATATATTTTATAATTATTTTTTAATTTTCAGTTGGCAAAGTATGTTGAAAAATTACAATAAATAAAAGAAGTGGTAATGTACTATAATAATTACAGGTAGCTTTTTTTTTTTTTTTTTTTTTCCCTCCTTTTTATATT